GGCTCTGGGTCCTGGAAGGGAAAATGGGGACACCTCAGAGAGACAGAATCCACGGGCTTGAGGGTTTGGGTCCTGGAAGGGACATTGGGGCACTTTGGGGACTCTGAATTTGAAGGAGATTTTGGGGGTCTGGGTCCTGGCAGGGCTATGGGGACACTTCAGGGGCACAGAATCCAATGGGGGATTATTTGGGGTCCAGGTCCTGGAAGAGTCATAGAGACTCTTCAAAAACACAGAATTGAGGGGTGTTGGGGGCTCCGGGTCCTGGAAGGGACATAGGGACACCACAGAGACACTGAATCCATGGGGGTTGGGGGCGGGGGGGCAGTTCCTGGAAGGGACATGGGGACACTTTGGGGGTACAGAACTTGGGGGGATTTTGGGGGGGGGGTTGGGTCCTGGAAGAGACATGGGAACACCTCAGAGAGACTGAAATCAGGGGGATTTTTGGGGTTTGGGTCCTGGAAGGGATACGGGGGCGTTGTGGGCACACAGCCGGGTCCCGGTGGGATCTGCTGCTCCTGCGGGGGCTGTGAGCACAGCGACCTTCGGGATCCGCTCCGGGAGCAGAGCTTCGCTTCGGGGCCTTTGGGCCTTTTTCCATGAGAACCAGGGCAGAATTCGCCCTGCCCCCCAACTCCTCCCCCACCATGGAAACACTCGGATCCCATCAACCACGAAACTGCGGGGGAAAATCAGGGGTGTCCCGCCGGCAGCTCCTGCAACACTTGCAGCTCCTGCAACCCTCTGTAATGCTTGCAACCCCTTGCAGTTCTTGCAAACCTTTGCAGCTCCTGCAATGCTTTGCAGCTCTTGCAACCCCTTGCAACACTTGCAACCCCTTGCAGCTCTCGCAGTGCTTTGCAGCTCTTGCAAACCTTGCAGCTCTTGCAACCCCTGCAGCTCTTGCAATGCTTTGCAGCTCTTGCAACCCTTGCAGCTCTTGCAACCCTTTGCAGCTCTTGCAACCCCCTGCAACACTTGCAACCCCTTGCAGCTCTTGCAGTGCTTTGCAGTTCTTGCAACCCCTTGCAACACTTGCGACCCCTTGCAGCTCTTGCAACCCTTTGCAGCTCTTGCAACCCTTGCAGCTCTTGCAACCCTTTGCAGCTTTTGCAACCCCTTGCAGCTCCTGCAATGCTTTGCAGCTCTTGCAACCCCCTGCAACACTTGCGACCCCTTGCAACACTTGCGACCCCTTGCAGCTCTTGCAAACCTTGCAGCTCTTGCAACCCCTTGCAACACTTGCAGCCCCTTGCAGCTCTTGCAACCCTTTGCAGCTCCTGTACCCCCTTCAGCTCTTGCAACCCCTTGCAGCTCCTGCAACCCCCTGCAATGCTTGCAACCCCTTGCAGCCCCACGGATGGCAGCTTTGCAGCTGCATGCACGGCTTTAAAGCACGGCTCCAAAAGGATTGTCAGAATTTAATTAGCGCACCTTAATTAGCTTCACCATTGCAAGGCAGAAATTTGCCGGCTTCCCAGGTTGACCCCAGCAGTGAAACCACGTGGAGGGAAGCAGGGGGGGGGGCTTTGGGCCGAGCTGAGCTGGGCTGGGGGGG